CCTATAAGTGAGGTCAGCGTAACCATTTGCACACTATTTCTCCTAAGCGATCTTCATGATTGCTGTAGGCCTCCCCCCAGAAAAATAACTTCTGCAAAATTGAAACATATAAATTTGTAACAATTAGACCCTCTGATGTACATACTTATATTTAAAGTAATTGAAGACTTTGATTCAATTGCGACGTACCTGAAACTCATCCCAATAAAACTCCGTCGCCTTTGCTAGTACTGTCTGCCAAGAGTGTCCCTCCTTATCGAGACAAAGTTTCACAATTCTCGTGAAAGCCTTCAAAGCAATAGAAGATGGATGAATGTTGTTCACCTAATAAAATTCTGGCCCAATAGCATCAATTACCATAGCATTATACCGTTCGATTGCGTCTGACTGAAATTGTGATACTTGACTGGGAGATGATACACCAAAAGACCGAATGGAACCACTAACCTGAGGCTCGTCATGATGTATCCATTCGTAATAGTTTTTCATAAAACCATTCTTGCGTAAGTGAATCTTAACTGTGTCGACATCAAAGAAAGCTCTATTTTTGCACTTCTTATGCTTACATGAACACCTCAATTTGCTACCATCCATGTAACTCGGATTAGCTACTGCAAATTGTACAAATGATTTCAATCCATCCAAGAAATTCTTTCCTTAAGATCCTGTTCAACTCTGGTACATCCATTCACGATCGAACCTCACTATCTAAGACATATTTAAACACCATGTTGGTTAAGGGTATAAATGATGAAATAAATTTGAGTAAATACTAATTTCAAATCTAAAGGTATATTTGGTACGAACCTAGCATATTTAGAAATATCTACTTCAATAGTCAATGTGAAACAACTCTTTTATGCTATTCACCTGCCATAATTTCAACAGCATCTCCCCATAGTTCTCCAAATGCACAATTAATGTGGCTTCATTAAACATCATTGTGCATCCAGAGAACATCATAAGGTTTTTAACCCTCTTTTTTTTGCGGAAAATATATCTGTCGAGCGACCGATTCAGAGCGGTTGCAGATATCATTCTCAGTTTCATATTTTTTTTATATTGTATATAAAGTACGCCACAACTAATCAAACAATATTCATTAGCAACGAATAATGCAGCACAAATAGCAATTCCTTAAATAATGCATTTATACCTAGATGGTAGTTATATATCATGAATGAATGCATAAAAGTTATCCATGTATGCATGTATGCATATGCAATGGGCAATATAGGTTATTCAACACTACTTATAGTTACAGATTGCACTTAACTGGACTATTTTATTAATACTCCTTTTCAGCTTTTGTCTTGTTATTTTGGAGCCTTACAAGCATCTAGGAAAGAGATTCTAAGTAAGAATTCTAATTCAAGGAATTTAGTTCTACATATTAATTAAATAAAACTCAATTAAACTTGTAAATAATTCTACAATCAATATGAATATTGAAAATAAAACAAAAATAAGAGTTTATCCATAAAAATGAAAATTTTAAAGAAAAGACGAAATAGTTGGATGGAATCAGTATATAGAAACAAAATAGTATATTTTAAATAATAGGGGATAGAGTAGCTAATTTTGGCATAATACGAGGATAAATTTATAATTTTTAGTAAAAAAATTTAGCATAAAATAAGGTTATTTCAAGTTAAACTTAAGAGTTTTTTTTTTCCTCTTTTTTTTTTTCTTGTTTGGGAATTAGAAGCTTTATTTATTAAACTAAATCTTCCAAAATACAAGCTTCAATACTGGTAGGAATTGGATCCGAAGCAAGGAAACTAGCGCAGGAACAAGCCTTCCTCGCAAGAAAATGAGCAGGCTTATTATCTTGTCTCCGAATCTAAGCCAAAGTAACATAAACAAATGACCAATAAGAAGTTTGCAAACTGAAATAGCTAAACCAAACTCTAAACCATCTTCGGTCTCGCTTCACATAGCCTGAAAAACCACCAAAGGATCTGTTTCAAAGAGGATAGTGGACAATTGTTGATTTTTAATCCAAGATAATACTTCACCCAAACCAAAAGCTTCTACCATAGTCGGGTACATGTTGCACCTGATAAATCCAAAAATAACAACTTGGAAAACACCAAACTGTTCCTAAACACAGCAACGAAAATAGACATATCCGAAATAAAGTTAACTGATGCATCCAAATTACACATCAGATAGCCTGCAGGTGGTTTCTACAATTCAGAGTTCGACATGCAAGTGGCAATAATATAATTATTGTTTATTCATATAATTACTTTTTACTAATTGCTTGTTAGTAGGAATTACTTTTTATATTGCATTAAAATTGCCAATTGAGTTAATAGTTTTAGTGCAATACTCTCTTTTCCATATCAGGACAAATATTAGATTGGTAAATAGTTTTGATTTGACATTATACTGGGAAATAGTCTTTTGAGGGGCATTATTATTGTCAAAAACCCTCTTTAATTATTAATTTTGCACTTTTATTTCTTGGATTGTTGGTTTTTTTTTCTCCACAAATAATTTTAACTCATTCTTATAAATTGGCGAAAGAAAAACTTGGTTTATTTAGATTTTAAAAAATCTTTAATGGTTTTTATTGGTAAAAAAATGTATTTTCTTCTTATTTTATCATGATTAAGTTTCTGTTATTTTAGATTTTTTAAAAAAAGTTTGTTTTGTTCTATATGTAGAGATTCATTTTAAAGATTTGTAACATTAAGTATTAGATCTTTTCATGTCTATCAGCTTAACTTCGAGTTGTTTTGATCTTACTCATGACCTTTTTCTTTGTTTTCATTTAATAGTTTCATAAAAGTGATTTGTTTTTGATAAAATTCCAAGGAAATCTATATTGCACGTTTAAGGTGTCAACTGCCAAACTGATGATTTTTTTAATATAAAGAAGTTAATTAATCGATTTGGCTTATTTTTTTATTACTTAAAAAGTATTTTTAAAACAAAAAAAAAAAAAAAAAAAAAAAGTTTTTTTGATAAAATTCCAAGGAATCTATTATTGCACGTTTTAAGGTGTCAACTCCAAATTGATGATTTTTTTTAATATAAAGAAGTTATATTTAAAATCGATTTGGCTTTATTTTTTTATTACTTAAAAGTATTTAAACAAAAAAAAAAAAAAAAAAAAAGAAAAAAAAAAAAAAAAAAAAAAAAAAAAAGTAATACGGCATCCAGATAGTGTTTTTAGTTGTTATATGTCTCCTGTAATACCACTTGGCATCCAATGCCGAAAATTAATTAAAACGGTTAAAGACATTTTCAATGTCTAAATTGAATTATTTTTAAGTTACAAATTGAAGTGTAAGTGCAGTTAAATACGCATACCCTCAGGTAAGGGCACACTAGTGAAATTAACCCAGCCTTACTTTGAAAAATAGCTTCATTAATGTTCATGCTTCCAAGATAGTTAGGCCTTCACCGACCAAAGGTATATTGCATGGCTTCCTACAAGCAATCCCATCTACTAAGTCCCTATTTGAGTTCTGGTATGAAACACCAATCCCAGCTAAACATCAAGAAGCTGGTTATGGAAGGCTGCATCCACATTAAACTTCAAGCAACCAGGTGGAGGAGGTGTCCATTTGATTGAATTCCTTGTGCCATCTAGACGTTGAGGATGGAAAGTAGCAACAAAGGTGTTGGATTTTGCTTCTCTCCAGTTTTAAGAGTTCTAGGATTTTTGAAATATGCTTCATTCCTGATTTTCCATATCTGCCAGTATATTGATGCAATTTGTAGAAGTATATCCTCATTTCCTCGTCTCCACAGAAGGATCATTATGTCTTTAAGCTATAGTTTAAAAGGCTGAAAGTTGGAAAGAGAAGGGCACAAAAGGATGAGATGTTCTACTGTATCTTCTTCTAGGTTACAGATTAGAGAAATGGGAGAGGGATGATGTTTATATGGAATAAATTTGCAACAGATAAATTTAATAAGGGAAGTGATATTCTAAAAAGTGTTATTACTTAGGTGTTAACAATTCTTGCTCTGGAAATGCTACCGTCCTTTTAAATTTTTATACAGAGATGGTTTGAATATAAAATATGGAACCACTTTTCTTCCATTCAAAAATCTTTTTAAATTAAGAAAAACCTATCTCATAACTAATGACGTTATTAAAAAATTAAAATTTGAATTTAGGAACTCAATTAGAAATCTTAAACAATTATTTTATACTTGACATTATAAAAATTAATATTTGAATTTAATTATAATTCTAATATTACAATTAAATGATAACATTAATAACTAATATTACTCAATTATTATAACGATGACTAAAATTTATATCTAACATTAAAAAATTAAAAAAAAAAATCATATTTCAATATCAAAATTTAATATAAAAAAAATACAAACATAACTAAGGTGCAAACGACCTTCTTAAAAACTAGTAATTTATAAATAATAGGGGGGTTTATTGGTTTTATGATTAATAATATTTAAAACACATACACACATATATATTCTTTCAATATAAAGAGAAACTTTATAAATCAAAGAATCTCAAAAGAATTTTGAATTCGTTGTAAACCAAAGCAAGGAATGGAATCTTATTCCTTGAAATGCATTCCAGTTCAATTTCCAGGAGGAACCATACCTGACTACAGTGCCTTCAAAAATGGAACGTGTCGCAAAAAAAAAAAAAAAAAAAAAAAAAAAAAAAAAAGTGTATAGCTCTTCACTTCTATCTAATATAAAGGAGAAACTTTATTAAATCAAAGAATCTCAAAGAATTTTGACATTCGTTGTGCCCTTGTATAACCAAGCAAGGAATGGAATCTTATTTTCGGAATACTGCATGCCATTGTTCCCAATTTTTCTCGAGATGTGAAAACCATAACCTGACTACAGTGCCTTCAAAAAATGAAACGTGTCGCAAAAAAAAAAAAAAAAAAAAAAAAAAAAAACAAAAAAAAACATACTGAAACTTCATTTCACAGAAAATGAAGCTTAAAAAAAAAAAAAAAAAAAAAAAAAAAAAAAAAACATACTGAAACTCATCACAGAAATGAAAGTTGCTAAAATAAAATCATCATACATCTTTGGATTTGTTCCTTCAAGTCAGCACATAGTAAAGTACACAAGGGCAAGAACAAGCAAGATGAAACTGCTATTCCTCCTACCAAATGAGTTCTAAGACAAGACTTTTCTCCAGAAGTGAAGAAGGCAAAAAGAATAAATGGAATATAAATTTAGTGGGGAAAACAAAGAATAAGAAATCAGACACCGAAGGAAAAATGCCAATTTTATAGCCAAAATTTCAACAGGCTCTAAATCCTGTTGATTCCTACACCTAAAAAAATAAATACGAAAGAATGCCAGATATTAGAACATCTTATGTACATTTTCTATTACCTTTACCTCCGATAATCTCCATACAAGAAGCTTTCATAGTTGGTTCCTTTAAGGGCCTCTTGCACATCCTTCCAATTATCAATCTGGTTAGACAAGGGTCCTTTATGTATTTTTATTTGACAACTTTTAAGATCTCTTTGTGGAACCTTCAAAAAATCTTGAACCTCCAGCAATTTCTGCAAAATACAAGAATAAGAACTTAGCTGTTCTAAGTTTTCTCTCTGTCACATGGTCGAAATGAAGCCACATTTAAAGGCTACAAGTGATGAAAAGGATTCTCAGCAAACACTAAAATAGTTTTTGCTTACAGTGCGATTTTTAACTATATCCTCATAGTATAGAATCATGTGCCTGGTGCTGTTGAAGTAATCTAATGCTTTGGCAGTTGTCGCTTCTACTTGCTCCATATTGGGTATGAGCAAAGTTGCATTGATAGAAGGCTTGTATTTAGCTAGTATCTCCGCCTGAAATCATCACTTACTTTAGGAATATAATGCATGGAGGGATAGACCGAGTCAGAGAGAGAGAGAGAGAGAGAGAGAGAGAGACCTCATGAGGTGAATGAACATGGGACTTATGAGTCCCATTTATTAGCTTAGCTTCTCGATCATAAGAATTTGCTAGTATTGAAATCATTCTGCGCAAGAGATTTCTCCTGAACAGAAAAATTGCTGAAACACCTCTTTTTTTGAAATACTCAACTATTTCTTCAGGATTTTGCAACACACCCTACATTGACAGTTTTAAAAGATGAATAGAAGAAATATATATGTTGCAATATAAAACAGCAGAAATCCATTGATAGAGTATTAGCTAAATCATAAGACTTAATTTGACCAACCGACACCTAGCAAAATATGATGTCAGTGGTATATTCTTTGAAGGACCAACTAACAATAAGGAAAATGACAAATTATATTCACTATTGACAAGGGAAAAGAATCTACTGATGTTCATTAGTTAAGCCCATTCCAACTGAAAGAAATTAGGGTGATCTTGTACCCAAGTATGGTAAGGGCAACATAACCGGAACTTGGATATAGGATGCAGAACCAAGCAATAAACCCTGACTTGAATTTAAGATCCAGATCTCATAACATGGAAACAAATTGTTCTATAATGCCTTAGATAACACTGTACCATTGGAGTAATGTTTCCTTGATACCAATGCTACAATCAGCAATCTCTAGAATACCAATCCTAGGATAGAACTGGTTTATCTAAAATCTTTCGCCTGTACTCAGTAAGAAGGAAAAGGGAGTGAAGGCTGCGTTCCTTACTTTTATCCTTGTCTGGTTTAGAACTAAGAGGAGGATAGAAAAGAACATGACAAGAAATAGATTTCTTGCGTCCACATAAGTTTTCTTCCCAAAGTAGAATCAAGTTAAATACAAAATTACATTACTTTCATATAAAAATACGACCTCTTTTGCATCTTTTCCACTTTAGTTTTCTCTCCATTCCCCTACATAATGGAAATCAATAAATCCCTTCCCTCTATCTCTTTCAAAACTGGGACAAAACTTAGGGCCATGAGATTCTAAATCATGTTATTTATTTATTTATTTATTTATTGTATCAAATGGAACTCATACGACGAACATTCAATCAGATGAAGTGCTTTAATGATACAATTCAATTGGTGTTATTTTTCGCCAACCAATAATATAATATTTGATTAAGTTCTGAACCATGTGAACAATGAACCACACAGTCCAATTGGCTATCAGGTGCCAATTTGCATCACTTAATATTCATAAAAAGTAAAATCATTGAAGTTCATTATAGGATATCCCAAATTTCTATCCTAGCAGAAGCAATTCTGCTTTGGCCACTGAAATAAAATTTTCTTGGGTGCTGGAATGACTTTGATGCTCTTTTCACTATCAGTCACCAAAAGCATGAGGAGTGCATCATACCATTAACCCTGCTCTACACGCCACCCACACCCCACCCACACGCCACCGCCCACACCCACCCCCCCCCCCCCCCAAAAAAAAAAAAAAAAAAACAAAAATAAATAATAAAAGTAAAAACCAAAGACGAAATAACCCAACAAAATGGGGTTAAAAAAATAGATAGAAGAAAAGAAAATAAGATAATTAAAATATATTGAGATAAAAAAAAGGGTTAAAAAAAAAAAAAAAAAAAACAAAAATAAATAAAAAATAAAAACCAAAACGAAAAACCCACAAAATGGGGTTAAAAAAGAAGAAGAAAAGAAAAAAGATAATTAAATATATGAGAAAAAAAAAGGTTCCCTTTATTAAAGGTCTACTCAGGAACTATCCATGAAATTTTTCAATAATTCTGTGAACAGGCAGGCACATAGATATCAACAGAGTCACCAAATGGATGCACAACCAAGCAATCAATTTCAAGAATGTATCATATTATAGCATTTCGTTTGCAACTCATTCAAGAATTGCCTAATAATACATAAAGAAATCCTCCAGTCCAAGATTTCAAATATGATTATGCAAGACTTTATATAACAAGCACTTCCAAGGAAAGAAGTGCATTATATCAATGAAAATTCATACTTTTTATTTGCACAGATATTACACTCAAGCAGTGTTGTAATTCCGTTTTCAATAATTCTGTGAACGGGTACACAGACATCCAAGCAACCAATTCAAGCTTGTATCAAACCATAGCATTTCCTTTGCAAAGTCATTCCAGACTTATATAATACATAAATAAATCCTCCATCCCAAGATTTCAAATATGATCATGCAAAGAGTTCATATCAACAAGCACTTCCAAGGAAAGAATTACTTTATATTCAGCAGCATTGTCAGCAGTGAAATCAATGAAAATTCGTATTATACTTGTTAGTTGCTTAGAATTAAACTCAAAGATCATAGCAAGATGCCCAGGTATTTATATGTTTAACAGCTATGAGCGAACATGATATTTGAGTCCACATAGTTCTGCCACTGAAAAAAATAAAAGCTAGACTACATTGATCAACTTGCTTGCAAACAATCTCTCATACTATAAAGGATGCAGAAAAACAGGAACTGAAGTGAGGCGAGCAATGAGCTCACTCGAACAACTGAAAAAACACATCAAGATCTCATCATGGACTATAATGTCTCTTGAAATTCCTCAAAGAAATATAATTAACCAATCAGCTCTTTCGATATGTGCATTAAAAAGCTTGGTCTTGGAAGAAAGGAGCCAGTCAATGACCACCTTCTATATTACTTTTGATAACATTTTTACAATAAGAAAAAAAAAATGAATGCCACCTCTAGAGGTAGAAGGAAGTTCATTCCCAAATTAGAAGCTAGTCACCAATAAAAGAAGACGGATATAGGACTCGAAGTTTAAGGCCTAGTGTTTTGCTACTTCTTTTCTAAGCTAATGGTAGAAGTCATTATGCCAAGCACTAAACTCTCTTATATGAATATTAAATCATAAGCAGAGTTCTTATAGCAGTTTCAGATTACATACATAGCAAAATGGTTTCCAATTTATTCAAGTATTCATTATACATAAACCACTTATTTTATGCAAAAATAAGGTGAAAACAGATGCTTTGATATGTTATTGGACAAAATCAATGATACAAGGAATGGATTATAAATAAGTAACATTGTCACCTGATTAAGCATCCACTTTAAGCCGACTGCAGCTGTACACTCATTCTTGGAAGCACTACTTAACCAGTCTAGATTATAAATTTTGTCCAAAGTCTCAACAATCATTGAAACATTATGCCTCCTAACTTTGACTGAGAAAATCTCTCCATTTGAGCTTATATTAGTATGATTATTTAATAAAGTCTCAAACCATCCACTCCCAGATCTCTGCATTGACAGAATAGCAAAATACCGCACTGGATTGCATGCACATTCAGCCCTAGAATGCACCAAATAATCACATTACTAAAAAATAAGCATAGAATTTAAAGTAAAATGCAATATTCTAATGTCTTACCTGCTATAAGTTTTGGGTTTTGGGTAGTGCACATAAGGGATCTCCCAGGGCTCTAGGTTAGGTTCCGGGCACGGCTTTTCAATCACTCCAACACGTAAAATTCCAGGATTGGTGCGAATGCCAATTTGCTTAAGACAAATTGACAATATATAGACACCAGAAACCATAACAAGCACTAAAACAACCATCCTTAACACCAATGGAGACTTCTTAGGAGCCTTTATGACAAAAGCATCCTGTAATTCATGAATTATCCATACGTCAACAATAACTAAACCACAATAACAAGTGATATGGGTGCGAACAAAATTGTGAAAGCAAGAACATTTTTAGACTAACATAATAAGCCGGGATTAAGCCCTTAACTAATGCCCAAATAAGTAAAAGGGAATTGACGGAAATATCAAAATACAAGCTGATATGTAGATTTCAATCCAACATGAGCTTAAACCTAGAGCAGCTTTTGTTACTGTCAATAGTACTAAACAGTTTAACAAAAAAATTTGTTGGGATATATCAACCATAACAGAAAAAGAAAGTATGGGTTTGCTTCCTTTTAACTGAAAACACAAAGTAAACCCATAAAAGTTGGAAATTTATATGATAAATAAATAAAACTCAGATCACAAAAACCCACAAAATTCACGTTATCCCGAATTACATAGCAAAAAATAACTCAAAGACAAACCTATACTTCTTTACAAAAAGAAAAAAAAAATGAAACATCCCTTTAAAACACAAAAAAAAAAAAAAAAAAAAAAAAAAGCAGAAAAAAAGAAAAGGGGAAAAAAAAGAAACGAAACTTATAATAGAAATTGCAAACAGACCTTAGAGAAGAAGCACAGATCTTCACCCATGATTTTCTTTTAGAGTTCAAAAGGGAATACAAAGAAAAGGCATTTGAAGCACTGCAGCTCAGATTCCGCCCTTTACATTAATCGTCAAGCTTTACTATTTCTTTTATTCAAAAACTTATTAAAACAATTAAACAAAAGAAAGTAAAGCGATAGACAGAGAGAAGTGGAGAGAAGAAGGGTTTCTCGTGAAAAACAATGATTAAGGATGCTTTTAGACCGTTGCACGCTCTCGATGTCTCTGTCCTGATTACGGAGATTACCATGCAATCAAAGATATATACTGTTGTTGTTATTAGTATAGCAGAAAGCAGAGCTACCTAGAAAGGGCACTCATATACAGTGTTTTAACACAAGTATGCGAACAAGAGAGAGACTTTTGTTGATCAGTGTTAGAGTTTTAATGGATATACGATATGATTTTGACTTGTGTTATGATTTACTCTGTCAATTTTCTTTTTTTATTCCTAAACGTGTTTAAAGGAATTGAAAAGAATATTTTGGTCGTTCTAAAAGAATAGATGCTTCTTTGAGGCAAAACCTAATTTGGGACTTTGAATTATATCCATCTCTTCCTAATTTTTAATTTCGAGTCAATTAAGGAAACATGTAAAAGAAAATCTAACAAAATTATTGTCTATTATCTATTATATTATCTATAGTTTATCTAAACAACTCCTATTTAACTTATAAGTAAAAATATTTTTTTAATTTTTATTAAATCTATATATAATTAAATTTGTCTTATATCTATTAAATTTAACTATAGTAATCTAAACAACTCCTGGATTTAACTATAATGAGAGAGAATATTTTTTTTAATTTTTATTAAATGCTATATAATATATAATAAAGCGTTATATATATATATATATATATATATATATAAAAGACGATAAATAAGAAGATAAGTTATAATGACAATAATTGTAAGAAAATAAATTATTTTATATTTTCAAATAATATCTTTATCATAATAATATCTATTACTTACGTCCATCAAGATAATGCTATTAAATTAAATTAAAATATATATACCAAATCATAAAAAAAAATATTTAATTTCTTATTTGAATGATTACCTTGGTTTATGGAGTAACCAGGACCTAGATTGCACGAACACAGTACATGAGATACAGAAATATACATGATACTATAATAAATAAATAATTATTTATAATAAATAATAAACATAAATAAAAAAAAACATAATTTCTTATTTTTATATAATTAGTTAAATTCTCAAAATTATTCCAAAATTATTAATTATAATAAATAATAAACATAAATAAAAAAAAACATAATTTCTTATTTTTATATAATTAGTTAAATTCTCAAAATTATTATCATTATTGAAAAATAAAATATTAGAAAAGACACAAAAACGAATTAAAAAAACTTAAATTTTCTTGGTAATAAAAGAAAATATTGGTTGATTACCTTGGTGTATGGGCAGCCTCATGTACCACAAATTAGGATGCACAGATACAGGATACGATATAAGGGAACATATTGAATATGACAATAAACAAACAATTATTTATAATAAATAATAAACATAAAATAAAAAATACTTAATTTCTTATTTGAATGATTACCTTGTGTATAAAGTAATCTTATATACTAGGAGTTAGATTGCATGGACACAGGACATGATGTACGAGAATGTACATGATGCGATAATAAATAAACAATCATTTATAATAAATAGAAAACATAAAATAAATAATACTTAATTTCTTATTTCAAAATAATTAGTTAAATTCTCAAAATTACTATCACCGTTTAAAAGTACAATGTTAAAAAAGAAACAAAAGTGAATTTAAAAAAAAAACTAATTAATTTTTTCTTGGTAATGAAAAAAAATTTTGGTTGATTACCTTAGTATATAGGGTAGTCTTATGTAGCAAGAGCTAAGTTACATGGACATGGTACACGAGATACGGGATAGTACAACGATAATAAATAAACAACCATTTATAATAAATAGTAAACATAAAATAAAAAGTACTTAATTTTTTATTTCAATATAATTAGTTAGATTCTCAAACTTATTATCACTATTGAAAAATACGATGTTAGAAAAGACACAAAAATGAATTTTAAAAAATAAAAACTTAATTTTTTTCTTGGTAATAAGAAAAACAATCTTTGTTGATTACTTGGGTGTATAGGATAGTCTCATGTACAAGGAGTTAAGTTACATAGACACGGGACATGAGATACGGGAATGAGCGGGATACGATAATAAATAAACAATCACTTATAATAAATAATAACACAAAATAAAAAATACTTAATTTCTTATTTCAATATAATTAGCTAAATTCTCTAAATTATTATCAATATCCAAAAATACAATATTAGAAAATGCACAAAGCGAATTTAAAAAAAAATTCAATTTTTTCTTGGTAATAAAAAAAACCTTTGTTGATTACCTTGGTGCATGAGTCTCATGTATCAAGAGTTAGGTTATACGGACACGAGATATGAGATACGGAACGTACAAAATACAATAAATGAACAACCATTTATAATAAATAATAAACATAAAATAAAAGATACTTAATTTTTTATTTCAATATAATTAGTTAAATTTTCAAAATTATTATCACTATTAAAAAAAATATTAATAGTGTATGTGTATTTTTTGATGCAGGCCATACCATGCATGATTTTTGCTATTACATACCTTGATGAAACACTTCACAGGATCCTTAAAAAGGTAAATCTTAGCATTGCAACTTTTTCAGCATATATCAAAGAGATATAATTTTGTAATACATTTCACGATCATTTTATTATACAATTTTATTATTTTTGATGTCACAAAAGATTATTTCATCCTTCAATATTATTCCGCGCATCGCACGGCTTCTAATACTAGTGTTTGTATATACTCCAAAACTATTTTCATCAATTTAAATTTTTTAAAAATTATGTTTTACTTGTACAAAAGAAAAATAAAATTTGAATAATATTTTATTATTACCACTAAGTATCATTAAATTCTTTTTATAAACCATAAATTTCTTGTTTGTCCAAGCGTTTGTATTAATGCTTTATTTCTTAGTTATTAATTTTTCAAAAAATTTTTGAATACTTTAATTATTAATTTTAATGATCAAAAGCAAGGAAATATAAATTTATAATTAAATTTTCAAAAGATTAAGACTTTTAAATTGTATGTAACCTTTGTTGTAGTTTATTTATAAATTTTTAATATATTTAGATATTCTACTGATACATTCCAAATACCCAAAATATATCCATATTTTGTAATTTATATTCTTAATGTTACGAAAAAAATATTTATATATTTTAATACACCTAAATAGCTAACCATTTAAAAACTTGATTTTTGTGATTTTCAATATATTTTTTTCTAGTTAATTAGATTCCATTTGCACTAATAAAAAATTATTCATAAAACTAATTATTTTTAACAATTTATTATGAATTTTGATTATTTCTAGATATAAAAATGTGAAAAATAATTTTAAGATTAATTTAAGAGTTTTTTTCCTAAAAAAGCATTTTTTTTAATTTATACCGAAAAAAACTGCAATATTAATATTTTAATCGCCTATTTTTTTAATATATGTGAATAATTCTTGCATAGTATTTTGTACTAAAAAATTGATAATATTGGAAAGGAAGATTTTATATTAGTGAAATTTAAATTTTAAATATGTACTTTTAAGTAATCTTATAGTTGTTACTAGACTTTAGGGATGAGAAAAGAATTTTTCATTTTTTAATATTTATATTGAAAAGCAATAAGGGTTATAACAAAAAAAAAAAAAAGAAATAAAGAAAAGAGAAGGTAAAACCAAGAAATAAGTTAAAAACAAAAGACAAGAAAAGAAATATCGTGGATGATGTTTCTTGTTGTAACAAACTTAGATGGACAGGTGTCAAGAAAATCGCAGTCTTTATCAATACAGATTTTTTCAATTCTGTATACTAGAAAAAACCTTGATAAAAATATCATTAAAAATTTTAATTTTATTGATTTAAAATAAAGATAATTTAATTTTAATTAATCATATTAATTTTTTATTTAAATCTAAATTCTATTAAATAATTATAAATTATATTATATGTACCAAATATGATAAGAATATAACATCTTTGAATATTTGATTTTATTGAAAAAATAAAAATAATTAAATTTTAACTCATTATATTAATTTTCTATTTAAATACAAATTATGAAAAATATATTATATACTAAATAATGTATACATTAACTATAGTAAAAATATAATATCTTCAAAGATTTTAATTTTATTGATTAAAAAATAAAGATAATCTAATTTTAATTGGTTATATTATACTATATAGATGACAAATTATAAAAATATATTATATACAAATACCATATATACATTAAACTATACGGTAAAAAATATAATCATCTTCAAGAGATTTTTAAATTTTATTGATTAAAAAATAAAGATGATTCTAATTTTAATTGGTTTAAAGTTAACTGATTATTAAAAACCAACTTCAAAATATAGATATGGTTTCATTATATGGGATATATTACAAATTTAATTGTTTGATACAAATTAGAAAATAAATTGCATATATATATATATATAATATAATATATATATAATTTAATATATATATAATTATGATAATACATTATATTAGCAAATTATGTAGTATATTGAAAGAAAATTTTTCTAAACGGAAGTAACTAAAAAATAATTATATGCTCATAAATTTATCAAAAAGTAAAAAAAAATAAAAATATCAAAATTATAAATGATGCTTTAAGAAGTTAATATATTAATTATTAGAATGACTATCTATAATATACAATACTACAATATAAATTTAAAACCTAATATATCAAAGTTAATCCTTATTTTGAGAAAATTTTTTATTTTTTAATTTCATAAAATTTTCTTTTTATGTTTTGTGAATGCTCTTATATTTTTATTAATATAAATTGATCATAAAATTATAATTTATAACATATAAACTAATAAAAATTATATAGATATAATATAAATTAAATTACATTTACTTGTAACAAGTAAAAATTAACGAGTAACAACATGCAACGAACATTCAAGAAAACTAGTATTAATAAATTGGAAATCGGTAGGAAAACATATTGGCAAAAATAATGATACAGTTCCTAATTAATAAATCTAGTATTAATAAATCTATAGATTGATAAAAATATCTTTACAAATATTAATGTTATTGGTTAAAACATAAAAGTGACTTAGTTTGATTAGTTATATTAGTTTCATATTTAAATCTAAATTTTTTGGTCCAATAAATAAACAAAATTATTTAATACAGTTCCTAATTAAGAAGCTTTACTAATTAAAATTTTTAATTCATATATATAATCTTTTAAAATTTTAATCGTTGC